AAGAAGAAAGTGAGGGCCTGCGAACGACAGTCGACAGAGACAGGAACATGTGACAACAATATTGAAACAATGAACAGGCTGTGTTGTGGTGCTCCACTTCCTTCGGTTGCTCTAGTGGTCATGTTTTATGGCTACACAGCCAAGAATTTTTCTGTACACAGCCAAGAATAGGCAAGAGTGGATTATTAATTTAAATTTAATATTAAAAAAGTGAAATTGTGAATACAATACCAAGATGAAGAATTATACTTTTATGTAGAATGTAGGGTGACTGACTGATGGACTGTAAACTTTCTGCTTCTTTAGTGATTTCTATGTTAAAGGAAACAATAATAATAATAAAATATAAGTATAAATCTTATTATACTATTGTTAATTTCTTTAGAGAGTATTCCTCAACTGCTAACCTTTCCTTTGTGCTCAACATTCATTCATTTAATTCATACCTATATACCTATTATAGTTGTTACCTTAAGGCAGGTCCTCAATATGATGCATTGCTTTTCATGTGCTAGCGTCATGACTGGAAGTGCAGTATAAACAAATGGGAGAATGTTTCAATGTGTCAGAATAGAAATGTTTTCTAATCTGACGCATACTCCCACTTGTTTATACAGTACTTCCGGTCGTGACGGATGCAAATGCATCATATTGAGAACGCACCTTTACGTTCACAAATTAATTAGTATACTTTACTAACCTCATCATTTCCTACAATCATCCCTTTGATTTTCAGCACTATTAGTCTATTAATGACAATAATTACAACAATTTACCAATTAAATTTAGTTACAAAGTAGACTGAAGATTTCCAATGACATTACAGTCAGCTTACATAAATGACTAATCTGGCAATCAAAAAAGATTAAACAATTGTAGCATAGTAGGTGGTCCAAGGTGGAGCTTGTTAATTGGCACTATTAATACAGCATTAGAAATAACCTTTGAAAGATCCTAATGTAACAAATACTTTTGAGTGTCACATTCTTATGATAATACTACATAATTTACATAATATGATCAAATCAACTAATAACCATGGTCCATGGCGGCAACTACAGTGACACCATCAACAAAATTATACTTATAGTGCTTATCTGAACAATTCAATCAAAAAGCATCATATTGTAGATTAATTAGATGTTAATAATACTGGCTTACTGACTATATGATTTGCTCCGCTCAGTAGCCAAACTCCTCCCATATTTGACGTTAAGGCTGGGTAATGTGTTAATTTTGATGTAATAATAATGTCATTACCGTCGTGGCTAAAATTAGAACAGAGGACAGGTCCTTTATGTGACGTTACGTAACCTAACTCGTGTCTATGAGCTGGAGGAGACATAATCTTCTCTGTAACGAGATACAATTATTATTCGTTATTTATAATTATTTATTACCGTCACTCTCAAATTCCAAGTCCATGATGCCCTGCCCACTAATGTGTGATAATACGTCACTGTGATCCGGCTA